AATCGATGTCCTTCCTTTTAAAAGTCTGGTTGAGTGAAGGTGAAATTCTGGTTAAGAATCGAAACCGGTTCAATATCAGTCTAGTTTGGTTTGAAAGAAATTTACCACGATCGAGCTGAATTTATTTTGGATTAGTTTTGGTTTGGTTCAGAATATTTTTAGTTGGTTATGTAAACGATATACATTCGGTTTAATGTGGTTTACTTCAGTTTATACCATTTTGGTTCCGAATTAACAACAAATTTCGCTTTCTCTTCGTCTACTCGAGATTCGATTGCAATTACCGGAAATTGCGATTGATCTGTTGGATTACGAACTTGCGTACCCGATTCAGTTTCTAAGGGTTTTTCTTTCGTATCTTTTGTTGTTCGATTGCGTAAACGTTTCATCAGAATAATGAGCGACGAGCAAGTGAAGGAGAAACGATTCAGTTGGGTTTTGAAAAGATTCTCTTTTTCGCAAGATGAGATGTTCTACTCTCGCCCCTTCGTCGTCACAGGCTGCAATTGGTAAAAGAGAGAAATGAAAGAACAAACATTTACGTTTTCTTGTGCGATTGATTTGGTTTTTAGAGTGGAATTTTGTTTTTGTTACAGGCGTATTCTTGCTTGTGCCAAGGGAGATAGGAATGGGTATTTGTCTGTGTATCTTGAACTTGTGGATCCTGCATCTTTGAGCTCTGGATGGAGAAGACAGGTGAAATTTCGCCTCACGCTTGTGAATAAGATTCGGAAACAATCGACCAAAGTATGTGGTAGGTGACTACTTTTTTCTTGATACCCTTCATTGTTTGATTCCATTTTGGTTTGTAAAATTGCAAAAGATTTCAGTTTTTGTGTCCTGAATTTGATGCGAGTAGATTCTCTGTATCTGTTTTATTCTATTTATTATAGTATCCTTTTTTTTTAAGTGCCAAAGCTTTCTCCTTTGCTTGTTTGTGGATGGTAGCAGAAGGAAAATGCTGGTTCGATGCAAGTGATTACAGTTGGGGTTTTAAAGAGTTTTTGCCTCTTTATAAACTTCATGCTAGAGGTAATGGATTTCTGGTGAGAAACAAACTCATTATTGTCGCTGAGGTACAGATTCTTTCAGCTATTGTTGTGCCAGAGGAAACTATGAAGGTAACTGAACCTCTAAGAAGCAAAGAAAGAAACCAAGCTGATGATGTGTCTGTCGAGGATACAGATGCATCCGAAGAGGATCCAGATGATGATGATGATGCTATATCTCCTGTTTTAGATGATGGAGGCAGGGACAGATGTCCTTTGAACCAACCGAATGCATGTAAGACTGCTTCTCATGCAGTAGGAAATCGTGGTGGTATGAGTGGTAATGATGTGGCAGTTTCCAGTGTGGATAATGATGATGGTACAGCTGAAGAGGTTCTAGATGATGGTTCATCTCTTATTTTGAATGACAGAGTTAGAGATATTAGGTCTCTGCACCAATTGAAGTCCTTGGAGGACGCCTCGCAGACAGTTGAAAATGGTGCTTTAGGGAGTAACAGTATGTCATCTGTTACTGAGACTTCAAAGATTGTGATCAAAGAGATTCAACCAGTGAAGGAAATCATGGATGTCAATGGTTTTCAGGTTTCTTCTTCACAGGTAAGAATGGAATCCAACATCTATTGTTATAAAATGGTTCTAACCTCGCAATCTTGAATCTTGTTTTCATTATAGTATTCGTTGTTTTTGCTAGCAGGTAGAATCAGTGAGCCTTATCTTCGAAAGACACCCGGACATTGCAGTAAGCTTCCGTCCTAAGAACCATCAGATCAGGAGGGCGTACATAAATGCACTCCTTAGCCTCATCGAGACACTTTGCCAGTCACCAGAGAAGCTCTCTGAAGATGATCTGAGCAATGCAGAAGAGACACTGGGTGATTTGATTGATGCTGGCTTTAAACTGGATTGGCTGAAGAAGAAACTAAACGAGGTATCTGAAAAGAAGAAGAAGGAACAGAGTAGTGTTGCCCGGATACAAACAATGGAGGAACAGTTGCAGAAGCTGAAGCTGATGTTCTTGGATCTTGAAGCTCAGCTGCAGAAGGAAAAAGCGGTTGTTTTGGCTGTGGTAGCTCCTCTCTCTTTCAATGATGTTGTTTGCTGATTTGCGAGGATCCTTGCATATTTTGGTGTCGCGGGTTTGTCGTATTCCTCTGAATAAAAAGCAAGATCCTGAATCTAGGTACTGAGTAGTGAAACTGAAGCATCTTATTGAGGAAAAGCTGAATGTTTGGCAATTTCACTTGTTTTGCATATTGTACAGAGATATCCAAATGCTCAAACGTTGGAATCAGTTAATAGTTGCCAAGTAAAAAACTATTTCTACGTTTCTATCTTTGACTTAACCAAATATGTGAAGAACAAATTACTCTCGTGTATTTGTTTAAATAGACGCCGTTTATCACATTGGTCCAAAATCTGCTTATATATCACATATTCACATTACGTAATTATGCTATTATAAGGGTTTTAACTCAGTCAAACCTTTTAATTGTGACTTTTTCATCGGCCTTTCCCTCCCCGCATATACCAAGTCTCAACTCCCAACTCTTCTCTCGTGTCCGTTACATAACGGAAAAACATTTTTTTTTTTCCTAAATCAACCGAATTTCTGTAAGATTAACCCCAAAAATGTTGCTTCCTTCGTAGATCATTAAGTAACTAAAGAGCCAACAAGCTACACCCTACTCCGGAAAATATCAAAATCCAAGACAATGTTTTTGCTCTCTTTGTCAAAACGCATTGTTCCGGTCCCTATCTTGGCCGTGGTAGTGGCCACACAACTCTTTCTTATACGTAGTGTTTCTTCCATGAACCATACCAATGCATATTTATACCACAAATGTTCCGAGATGGAAGGGAAATACAAGCCGAAGAGTGCGTATGAGCAAAACCTCAACTTTCTAATCAGTGATATGTATAAAGACACGTTCGTCAGAGGATTTGTCTACGCCAACCATGGTGAAGATCCCAATACCGTCTACATTTTGCTCCAATGTCGCGGCGACTCATATGGCTCCAAGTGTGGCTCCTGCCTTTCCACCGCCACCTCCGAGGTACATCCGTTTTTTTTTTTTTCAAAGTTATCTCTAAGTAACCAAAAAACTTAGTTTCCAACTATAACACAGTTTTCTTTAGAATGCATAATAGAAAAAAAAAAAAAATTCAATTAAGTATCCCTTATACCATTTTATTAGTTTGAAACAATGAAGAAATTAGATATTTTCATATCAAAATTAACATTTAACCTCTATTTGGACATTTATTTTAGAACAAAACGTAGTCTAAAACGGACATGGGAAACATCCCTAGCTACAATACATATTTATTTTTGATTGTGGTGGTGTTATGCATATAACAGCTACGTAGGAGATGTCCAATGAACAAGGCGGGAATAGTATGGTTTGATCGATGTCTTCTCAAGATTTTTCCGACAGATTTCTTCGAGAAGATCGATGACAAGAACAAGTTTTACATGTACAACACGAAGAAAGTGAGCGATCCGGCCTCCTTCAACGGGAAGACTAAGGCTCTTCTCACCGACCTAACCGCGAAAGCCACTCGTAGATCAGACAAGTTATTGTTGTACGAGACAGGGGAGATGAATCTCGGGAATATGAAGTTGTACGGAATGGTGCAATGTACACGGAACTTATGGATTACGGTTTGTAAAACGTGTTTGGATAAGATTATTGGGGAGCTTCCTAAATGTTGCGATGGTAAAGAAGGAGGGAGAGTTGTGAGTGGGAGTTGTAACTTTAGGTATGAGATTTACCCTTTCCTTGAAATTGTTCAATAATAAGATCTAAAGCTCTATATTTTTTTTTACATTAATTTTGTTTCTTGTCATTAAAGAAATATCTTTTGAGGGCACAGAAAGATTTGCCGCTAAAAAAATGTACTGCAAAAGTAACATCTTTATGAGTGTGGCTCACGACAAACGAATGACTCAATTGGATGGACACCATTAATGTCCATCGGTTACTTAATCATACCATTGATTAATTTGTAATTATGACAAGATTATCAATTCACAAATGCATGCATTTTCTTGATATCTATTTGTTGTAGGAAGAAACCTCTCTTAGCTCTCCAAATATATAAATCCTCTCTGGTCTCTATTCCTTTCTCCAACACTGAAGGTTAATTAATCCTCAGCTACGTACATATCTACAGTTTTAAAATTGAGTGATTCTCTTTGCACCAATGGTGAAGAAAACAGATTGTAGTGAATCTAGCGACGATGAACAGAGTTATTCATCTTCATCTGAAGAATGGTCGAAGTCATCGGACGATGTTGATGAAATTGTTAAAATCAACGGGTTTCAAGTTCTTGATTCGCAGGTAATAAAGCATGACATTATACAAAATACAACTCTTGTATCAATATTAGGGTTTGACGTTTCTTGTTTCACAGGTAAACCAAGTGAAGGCAATCTTTGAAAAACATCCAGACATTGCATCAGATTTCAATTTAAAGAACCAACAGCTAAAAAATGCTTACATGGGTGTTCTTCTTGACTTAATTATGACACTGTGCCGGTCGCCTAATGAGCTCACAATGGACGATCTACACAAAGCAGACCGCACGGTTTTGGATCTGACAAAAGCTGGGATGAAGTTGCATTGGTTGCGTCAGAAACTGGACGAAGCTTTCTTGAAGAAGGAGAGAAAACGGGCAATTTGGGCACGGATCAGAGAACTTGAGGAACAAGTCAAGAAACGAAAGCTGAATTTGTCTGATTTAGAATCTGATCTGAAGAAGCAGAAAGCCGCGGCTTTGGCTGTTGAAACTCCGTTTGATTTCAGCGATGTTGTTTGAATAAAGAAGCTCCTCTGTTTTCATTTTTTGTTTTACTTTCCTTGATAAAGTCTACCTTCTTCAAAGAGAAAGTAGTTGCGTATGAAACAAGTATTAAATATGTACCATCATTTGTACACAACGAAAAAGAAACAGAGTATCTGCTCTAAAAAATTCTTACATATAAACCAAACAGTGAATCTAAGCAATTGGGAAGTTAATGGATGATTTGACATAAGTTGCTGCTAATGTGTATAAATAATGAATTCATGGTTAAGCTATACGAAAATTATAAGTCAACCGTTTAAATTTAATGTGGACTATAAGTTAACCATATAAATAAATTCACATTCTTTCCAAAATTCTGTAAAATTGAGTAATTTATAGATATCTCAATTTTTTTTTTAAATACAGTTTGTCCTTTTGAATTTGTTTTAAAAAAAATAGTCTAGATACCCTAGACCTATAACCAAACAAGATATTTCGTTAAATTTGAAATATTTGGCCAATTTTTTAATAGTTTTTTCCGAATTATACGTTGATAGAATCTCCCTAGAGAATCTATTTTTCTTGTTTATTTAGTTTGTTGAATAAAGGTCTCGAGTATATATATCTAACAAAGTCTATCTTTAGGTTTTGGCTAAAAAGGTTTGTTTATATAGCTTCTTCGTCTCCGATCCTTTCCTACCAAACTCTTTAGTCGATTTGATTTCATATCGTGGTAACTATAAAAAAAATTGTTGTTGATTTTGATTGTAAGTGGAATCTTAGTTTATAATTTGTCTTATTTTGTATCTCGAGAGTGTGCATGTGATTAGGGTTTTGCTTATGAATTCGAGATTTTTAATTATTTTCATGTATCTACTTGTAGTTTAATCGTGCGCGAAGAATCTTCATCATCACTTCAATGGCAAAGCAAGCTGATAAGAAGATTGTTTGGTTAATAAAAGATTTCTCCTCTTTGCAAGATGAGAAGTGCTGTTCTGTTCCAGTCCTGATCGGTGACTTCGAATGGTAAAAAAGCAAAATTTCCATTAGGGTTTAGATTTCTTCGAATAAAACGGAGTTTTGAATCATGTTTATATTGAACTTGTGCTATTATTGAAAATTTAAACTAATAGTATTATTTTCGGAACAAAAACTTAAGAGTGTAATATCTTTTAATACCGTAGTTTTAGTAATTCTATTGTTTTATTTTATTATGGCAGGCGTCTTGTTGCCTATCCCAAGGGATACGATGGTACTTCTTTGGATCTGTATCTAGAAGCTATTGGTGATGAATTATTGCCTTCTGGATGGCGACGATACGCAGAATATCACTTAACAATAGTTAATCAAATTTCCGAGCATTACTCCGTAAAGATAGGTAAATTCTATGCACAATGGTGATGACTGGTATGTTGATAGCATGTTAAAGAGTGTAAACAAAAGAGCTACTTACTGACTGACTTGCTTTCTATTTATATATTCAACAAGGTGACCAAACTACCTCTTTTCCGGAAACATGAAAATTTGATGAGAAAAAAAAAGTGAAAGCTTTATGAATGGTAAAAAAAAACATCATTTAGAAGTAGCAACTTTGATGAGAAAAAACTTCATGTATGGTGCTTTCTATATGCTATGTTGATTAACCAACTAATTGAGTGAAAATATTGCAGTTGGACGAAACTGGTTTGATAAGAAAACTGCGATGTGGGGTGGTCGAGACTTGATTCCTCTAAGAATTCTTAATGATAAAAATGGTGGATTTTTGGTGAATGGAGAGCTCATGGTTACTCTTGAAGTAGATGTTTTTGCACCTATTGGCACATTAGGTGCATCACAAGTTAGTGATGATGATAGTGAATGGACAGCTCTTGATTATTCCTCTTCTGATGAAGAAGGGACAGCTCTTGATTATTCCTCTTCTGATGAAGAAGGGACAGCTCTTGATTATTCGTCTTCTGATGAAGAAGAAGACGAGGATGATGTATTTGTAATTCATCGTTCGCAGGTAGCAACAAAGATTGACAATTACTTAACTCTTTGTTTCAATATTTTTAGCAAAAAAATATTTGTTACAAACTTAAATTTTTGTAAGATTCTGAGCCAAACTGAATTTGACCCTTTTTATTCTTGTTTA